TGCACCAAAACCAAAGCCAAGGAGAAGGAAGTCAGTAGCTAAAGTAGCTCAAGAGCCAGTACTTACCACAACTGAGCCTGATGTCGAGAATTCTGATTCAGACAGTGAACATGATGTAGGAATACCCCACATCATCATAAGCACAAGAAGAGTTAATGGGGAGATGAACCCTGGCACTGATGCTGATGATGTCCATGCATCTACCCAGGAACCACAGAAAACTGACCCAACTCCATCTGTATCACAGACAGATGAAGATGCATCAACAGAGGAAAAACAGCCGGCTGGTCAGGAAGATATCCAGGATCTGGATGAAACACATGAGAGTCCTGATAGTGAAAGTGATGAAGATACCCGGGTCAAGACGCCAGTGCCCCAGACAAGAAGATCAGCAAGATTAAAAGCAAAGCCAAAGTGGATGACATCAGGGGATTTTGTCGTGAACCAACACTCAACAGAGAGTCAACCCGATTGGAGGTTAAAGGCAGAGTATTTAATGAATACTTCTAACAATTCTATTTTTAAAGGTCATGAACATAAAATTGTAGATAGTATTTTAAAGCTTTTAGTTGATACATAAGTCAAATACAAATAGGACTGTATACTTTGACAAGTATTTTTATGACAATTTGCTGAATTCAAATATTTTTATGACAATTTTTTGAATGATGGGACATCATTCTCGAGCAGGGGGAGAGTGTAATAGGGTGATATTTTCAATATATTTATGATTAATAAATGATACTAAAGGTATATTGTGTGTCTTGTTGTTTTATGATTATTTCACTTGATCATCATCTACATCATCATCATTTTGTATATATTTAGTTGAAACACAATTGGATACACATTCCTGTATTGCCCTATTCTCCCTTGGTTCTTTTATTGTGCTATTCATTGATCATTAGTTGACTTCTTCAATTAATGACTTTTTGGTATTTAATGCCTATGGCTATTTTACCTATGTGGTCATTTTCAGACATGTGATACATGTCATGTGGTTTGAAGAACCAATAGATTTACTATATATATTTTCCCGCTTTTGGTGAACTGCCTTTGTTCATTAGAAAGTTAGATTCCTTAGAGGAAAGTTCTTATATAATTATGTAGTGACTGTATCTATGTGAAGTCTGCCATATTTGAATTATCCTGACTGACCTGAAAGATGTACTGACAGATAGTAAGTGCACTCTATATTTTATTATCTTGATTAATATCTGATTTAATATTTTCTGTAAATTATCTAATTTATGCATTTTCTATCTTTCATGAGTAAATTCAATTGATTTGATTATCAAGTTTATTTCTTTTACTTTTATCATTCGACCTTAGTAATTTATAAATATCAGTTATCAATTTCATTGATGGGATCTAAATATTGATTCTGAAGTTATATAGTTAAATTATTATTTACAGTTGATATGTAGTATACCCGAGACTTGATTCAGGCAGCTTATTGAGTTTAAGCCTTGTTCCATAAACAGGTGATTAATTGATAAGCATATGAAATATAATACTTTTATCATAGATAAATGTAATGTGAAATAGTTGCATTGAAATGTATATATTTATGGAGTAATATTGTATATGCATAATATTCATTATCAGAATTAATGTTTTTAATATATTTTTAATGCAGTCAAGGGAAATAACTTGTAAAGTACTTTAAACTTTAAGAAGATAGCAAGAGTTATCCTTCTTGTATTATATATATTCCCTTGCAAGTTTATTGTTGATTTTTTATCCTCAATATTGTTTATTCCTATTACAGGGCTTTAAACTATAACTACAACTATTATATTATCATTGAGTCCATCCATATCAACACTGAAGTATTTAATAATAAATGATGAACCCATAAGTGGTGTTATTCTTCACTAAAGGCCACTACTACAGTAAGTTGATGGAACTTATTTCTGATCCTTTTGATTGTCAATAAAATACAGTGTATGTTCAAAACAAATATCGTGACGATTTGTAGCTAGGCCTATGAGGATCTAGAGACTGCTGCTTGGACTCTAGAAAGCTTTATGAATCACATGATCCACGAAGGGTATATAAATTCGTGCAGCTCGGAAGATACGATCGCTTAACGCAAAACGATGGAATGTCTCGACGAAATTGTCAGTGAAAAGGGTGAACTACCCATTTGTCTTGCGGGTCTTGCCACATATACATGTAGATATGCAGTGCTATAATATGATGACGTGCACAAACAAGCTTGCTACAGGACTAAGCATTTGGAGCAAGATTAGAAGAAAGCATCAAGACCAATAAGAGGTCGGTCATTTAGAGGTTTGGTACTCATGTCGTCGACCTTTTAAAGATTTTAAATTTTTCTTGTTTGCAATCAGTGACACACTGTGAGTCACTTGAAGCAGTGGAGAAACATTAGAGGGTGTAAATTGACCATATAATAACATAGATTTAATGGAGGACACTCGTTCACTCTCCTACCATTATCTCACAGAAGACGACCCTGTGTTCACCGAATGATCAGTTTTTATTACACATGATGTTAAAGCAAAACAATTAATCACAAACCAACATAAATTGTTGTCTATAATAATTATATCGTCCAATTCAAAACAATGACAATCAGCTTCATCATGCATATATATCTTTATATTAAACATAATTTTGTATGGCAAGTTTTTAGCTCACCTCGACGAAGTCGAGATGAGCTTATGCTATACCCCCGGCGTCGGCGTCGGCGTCGGTGTCGGCGTCGGCGTTAGCGTCGGCGTCCCAGGTTAAAGTTTTAGGAGCAAGTCCCATTCCCAAGTAACTATAAGCCCTACCTGGACCAAACTTGCATGGATGATGCATCTAGGGATGGACACTACCAAACTTGCTTCGGATGCTGGATCTGACCTAGATTTTCCAGATGAGTGACCAGGTTAAAGTTTTAGGAGCAGGTCCATTCCTAAGTAACTATAAGCCCTACCTGGATTAAAATTGCATGGATGATGCATCTAGGGATGGACACTACCACACTTGCTTCGGATGCTGGATCTGACCTAGATTTTCCGGATGAGTGACCAGGTTAAAGTTTTAGGAGCAGGTCCATTCCCAAGTAACTATAAGCCCTACCTGGACCAAACTTGCATGGATGATGCATCTAGGGATGGACACTACCACACATGCTTCGGATGCTGGATCTGACCTAGATTTTCCAGATGAGTGACCAGGTTAAAGTTTTAGGAGCAGGTCCATTCCCAAGTAACTATAAGCCCTACCTGGACCAAACTTGCATGGATGATGCATGTAGGGATGGACACTACTACACTTGCTTGGATGCTGGATCTGACCTAGATTTTCCAGATGAGTGACCAGGTTAAAGTTTTAGGAGCAGGTCCATTCCCAAGTAACTATAAGCCCTACCTGGACCAAACTTGCATGGATGATGCATCTAGGGATGGACACTACCAAACTTGCTTCGGATGCTGGATCAGACCTAGATTTTCCAGATGAGTGACCAAGTTAAAGTTTTAGGAGCAGGTCCATTCCTAAGTAACTATAAGCCCTACCTGGATTAAAATTGCATGGATGATGCATCTAGGGATGGACACTACCACACTTGCTTCGGATGCTGGATCTGACCTAGATTTTCCGGATGAGTGACCAGGTTAAAGTTTTAGGAGCAGGTCCATTCCCAAGTAACTATAAGCCCTACCTGGACCAAACTTGCATGGATGATGCATCTAGGGATGGACACTACCACACATGCTTCCGATGCTGGATCTGACCTAGATTTTCCAGATGAGTGACCAGGTTAAAGTTTTAGGAGCAGGTCCATTCCCAAGTAACTATAAGCCCTACCTGGATTAAAATTGCATGGATGATGCATCTAGGGATGGACACTACTACACTTGCTTGGATGCTGGATCTGACCTAGATTTTCCAGATGAATGACCAGGTTAAAGTTTTAGGAGCAGGTCCATTCCCAAGTAACTATAAGCCCTACCTGGACCAAACTTGCATGGATGATGCATCTAGGGATGGACACGACCAAACTTGCTTCGGATGCTGGATCAGACCTAGATTTTCCAGATGAGTGACCAAATTAAAGTTTTAGGAGCAGGTCCATTCCTAAGTAACTATAAGCCGTAACTTGATCAAACTTGCATGGATGATGCATCTAGGGATGGACACTACCACACTTGCTTCGAATGCTGGATCTGACCTACATTTTCCACATGTGAGACCAGGTATAGATTTAGGAGTAGTCCCATTCCCAAGTAACTATAAGCCCTACCTCGACCAAACTTTCATGGATGATGCATCTAGGGATGTACACTAACCAACCTGCTTCGAATGCTGGATCTGACCTAGATTTTCCACATGAGTGAATTTTAGCCATATTTTAACCAAATTAGCATGGATGTTGTATCTAGGGATGGACACTTCCAGACTTGCTTTGGATTCTGAATCTGACGTACATTTTCCAGATGAGTGACCAGGGTAATTTTTTTTGAGTAGCTATATAATATTATGGCCTTTTATGATTAAACTTGCATAGATGGTGCATCTAAGGATGAAAACTTCCAGACTTGCTTTGGATGTTGGAACTGACCAAAATTTTCTTGATTACTAAACAGGTCAAAAGTTTTTTGAGCAGGTCTATAATTAAATCAAACTTGCATGGATATTGATCTTGGGATGTACCCTAACTAGATAAAAAATATGATGTGAAATTTGCTTTACATGTAGATAACATTCGTCGAGGTGAGCTTCGTAATCTTTGATTACCTATGTTTAAAGTATAAATTCTAAAACAACAATTCTAGAACATAACAAAAATTTCCACTTTGCATCCAACATGGCTGATAATATTTTTTAAAAAAATGATGCAATATGTCTTACAGATTCAATACATCATTAAGTGATTAAAAAGCTGAATAGTGAGGTTGGTACCCTACATGTACATATACGTATACAAACATGTAAATTTATTAAGGTTTTTAAATTATCAGATACAAAAACACTGTTGCTACGACACATTAATTGACATTCAACAAACAAAACTACTATAATAAGTGAGAAAAATGCAACATTATGTGAACAGTTTCTTTTTTTTTTTTTTTTTTTTTTTTGAAGTAGTTAAAAGAACTGTAAATGTTAAAAATCACAAGTAAGGAAATAAATTTTTACCATTTTTACAAGAAAGGATATCTTTAAGAAATTCCCTTAGATTTCAACTGCAATATAGAATTGCATATTGTGAAACGTGTTGGAAAATCTGTAAGAAATACACACCTAAGATATGCATCATGCATTCAAAAATGTTGATTTCTTATAGTACCTCTATTATAGGGCACTGTTTCATGTATAAGTTCATCTAGATTCTCAGATATCTGTTTATAATTCATATTTCTATGTCAATTAATTGAACGTCCAGTCAGATATGCTTTCACAGAACGCCAACAGCTCAGCAATTCCTCTCCAATTACCAGCCTTTACAAAGCAGTAACAAGCATTGAATGTCCATTCAGTACACTGATAGGACCCTGCACTAGATCAGGATTTGGGCCAACTGCAACAACCCTCATCCCAACATTGTGGGGATCTGGGCCTTGTCTGTGCTTCAGGTTGGGACCAGTAGCTTGAACAGAGTCCTTGCTAAAATACAATAATCCAATAAACTTTGACGCAGTTATTCAAGAACGATTTAAAAATTCAATATTTCAAGAGGATGAAGATCCCCAGAATCGAATAAGACTAATTTGAAGCGATACCTTCTAGCACTGCAAATTAAAAACAGAAAAATTACTATCTCATTGCATGTGCTTTGTAACAGAATATCACCATGGCTGTCACTGGATATTAAACATGAAAGAAGAAATGCAACAAATACCACGAAGGAACCTGGAACATTACTGTATTTTGCTACTCTATTAGTATTGGTTAGATTACTGGATAATATCACTATTTTACCTTAGGAGTGATTTATTGGGACCTTTGGGCAGGGCTGGGTTAGGCCCATGTGGCGCTGTGCGGTATGATGACTGTGGAATTATGTCAGAAGTAACAACTTTTGAAGTGAATTGACTGAAATAAAATTCAATGTATTTTTTTGGCTGAATAATCATCTAAAGAGTAGCAAATTTATGTATGTACATTAAACGTAAAGAATTAACAAAGAATGCAATCTGTTTATGCAATATCTATTAATGAAGTTACAAAAAATTTGAAATGATCAAATATGCTTAATAATTAAGACAATGGAATTTATAACATTCCACAGTACAAGTTTTTATAAATTATGACCTACCTGGAAGGACTGTCAGGTATTTATATATAGGCTAGTCCTATCTTTACCTGTTTGTCGATGATTTGTAAGGGAGAAAACAACATGTCATTCCTGGAAGTCTACTCATCAAGCTGGTAAAAGGAGACCCAACTCTGTAACGCAAAAGTCAGATACAGAATTTACTCCATTATACAGAGCCTAATACGGACAGAACCTAGTAATTCAGCATTTAAATGTCCATACTTAAAAAGGAAGAGGACTACGTTCTGACATTTACCGATAATGATTCAAGTTTATTGCACTAGTTATAAAGTGGGCACTTTGTAAATCTTTCTTTTACTCTACGTTTGATGGACACTGTTTTAATTTATTCAGGGATAGGACAAGTTTTACTCACTGAGATGTCACAAGTAAGGTTTTCAGAGATATCTTTTTTCCTGAAGAGCTGTTGTCATTTCTAACTGAATGTTGATTTTCCCCAGATTCATTGCTGAAGTTAAATTTGAAAACAGACATGAAATTACGGACAAACAATAGAAACACTTTAAAGAGATCCTAAGAGATGAACCAGAAAGACCCATAGAAGGTGAAGAAATTACAGAGTCGCATATAGCAGAGATGTAAAACCAGTGAAGCATCATAATATGGAGACATAAAAAAGGCTATAAAAATACTTAAAAAAAAAAAGAAAAAAACAAGACACCAGGAATACACTCTATCACACCAGAACTAATGAAAGCAGATATATAGGGGTTACAACAGGAAAGGTGAAAAGTCTTCTTGATAAGATGCGGAATAAGGAGAAAATACCTGAAACATGGAAGAAGGGATTCGTCATAAAGTTACCAAAGAAAGGGATTCTGAAAAAATGTAAGAACTGGAGAGGGATCACGTTACTCCCTACAGAAAGCAAATTCCTGGGAAGAATCATAATTGATTGGATCAGAAAAAGAACTGATTCACAGCAAGGAAAGAGCAAGCTGGCTTTCGAAGGGAAGTACAACTAAACAGATCAAATTATGAAGACATGGAATTCCAGGAAAAGTTGATCAGCGTCATTTAAGTGTTTTATAGAGATTTCAAATGTTCTGTGATAGATGGTGGAGAGATATAGGAATGGTTATATGTGAAAACAGGAGTGAAGCAAGGCTGTAACGTGTCTGTTTTTATTTTTTGATAGCATATTGGACTGGTTAATGAGGAGGTCAGTGAAGAACTGAGAGACCGAGATAAGATTGGATTTTAATAACAATTGAATGATTTAGATTTAGATGTCTTATTATCTTATTATCATTAACTACTCACACAAAGGAATACAATAAATATGGTAGAAGAAACAGAAAGAAGAGGACTTAAAGTTATCGTCGGGAAAACAAAATGAAAAAACGCACAGTAGAAAAAAATAAGGGCAGATGCCTGAAGGCAGTCAGGGAATGCAGCAAGAACAATAGCAACCAGTAGAAGTGAGTATAGACGCTCTGTGGAGGTCTTATGTGCCACCAGGGACGAGGAGGATAGGTAACAGGCAGGCAATAGTAACAATCTAAAAATAGTATTCGATTTGAATATACCCAGACACCTTGTAAATTGTTACTTTTCATTGAGTACCTTTGCTGATCAGAAAGATAGTTATCAGGCTGGTCTGTAATGGTTGTTGTTTTGGAAACATCAGGGGTGGGCGATGTTATGTCAGATTTGGTTCTTTTCTTATAATCATCTGTGAAGAGAAAATTTCTTTCATTTGTTTTGGAAGAATGATTCAATGAAGTTGTCTGTGCTTATATAGTTGGAAAATGTATAGCAACGTAATGCTAGTATCTCACCATTACTACTTCTCTGCTCTTCCCTACAATGAAATAAATGTGGTAATAAGGTAATAATTCTTTAACCTTCTGAAGGAGATATTCTTTGAAATATCTTACTTCTGTATATTATTTACATACTCTCTTTTCACCCTCCCCTCCCATTTCTCCAGTGTAACACGTGTAGCAGACACATTAAAATTGGTAGAACTCAGAGCCAGCTCCACAACTTCAGGCTCACATTCTGGAAACTGACCCAGTAGCCTCTGTTTCACTGTAATTCAAAGTCAGAATCTTTTTAGTTCAACTTAATTACAATCACTTTGTCGATATACTGTATTACTGTTTAAAATAATAGCAGTGTTTTCTTCATAATCTTACATGTACTACTCTCAATACATGATAAAGAAAAATCTTACGTCTCTCCTGCTCAGCAGTTGATACTTCTTGGTCTCTGAATTGGGAACTATGATTTCTAGGACCTGAAGGTGACACTGCAGATTGATTGCCTTCAGTTACTGTAGATGTTTGGTCTATTGAAGAGTGTTTGCTTGGGGACTTTGGGGAAAGTGAATGAGAAAAAGTGGTTATGGTAGGGTCTTTGTTGGACCTGTGTTCTTCTGCTTGAATATGCTTTTGAATTGTTTGATAAGAATCATGGCTAATTTTCCTTGAAGATGCCATTTCTGTAGCAGATACATACTTCTGCTGATTTGTTGTTGTAGCAGCAACTTGGTAAGAATGCCGCCTTGGCTGTAGATCTGGGTGCTCATCCTGTTGTAATGCCTCCGGTTGCTTGTTTGGCGTTAATTTTCTGTTAGAGTGGTTTGGAGAAATTATGTGTTTTTCTTGATTAAAAGACATTGAAGTCCTCTGATAATTTTGAGATGGATTCTGCAATGGATCATCGAACTGTTGGTTGGGAGAAAGTGATCGTCTTTGAATAGGAGAAAGTGAACGTCTTTGAATAGGAGAAAGTGAACGTCTTTGGTTGGGAGAGGCTGAAAAGCTTTGTTGATAATGTCCATCCTGATGGTTTTGAGGTGACGTATGCTGCTGTATGCGGGGATTCAACATTTGTTCTCCCTGTGGAGTCCCTCCTCCAGAAGTTTGTTTAGCAGTTTCAGAAGTATTTGTTTCTTTGAATCCCATGGACATCAGAGTCAATTTGGCTCTTGTGTGGTTGTTCTGACAGCTGTATATTACACATAACACAAAGGTAGATTAGATCAAAGATTTCTTAAGCTGCCAACAGTTCTAGCAGCAGTTAACATTTTATCAATAGGGCTTAAAAAATAATTTAGAAACAGAATATGACATTTTCACTTTGTCCTTTTTATTACGTCATTTGTTATGACTGATATTATGTATGTATATACCTTTTTATGACTGCCCTGACCACTTCCTGATTGGCCTGTGGGAATGCTTTAAGCAGAGCGTTGACTGAGGCCTCGAACTTGGCATTTGATTGGTCAGTGACAGTTTGGTGGACGACCTGTAACATAGGACACCAGGCATGAACTAGTATATCATATGTGCTTTTCTGAATATTTCATGAAAAATATCATTTTTAATTTTGCTATTAAGAAAGCAGAGTTTTCGTAAATTTCATGAATGTATTTTACCTTTTATAGATGGTGTCCTACAAGGGAAAAAACTGCAAAAACGAATAAGCAACAAAAATAGTACATGCAGTACTGTATAGGGGGAAAATAACTCGCGGTGTAAATATTCGCTATATTCACGGTGTTGATAAATCCGTGAATTCAAGAAACAGTGAATAAGCTTTCATTAAACTTTTTTTTTTTTTTGGAAAATATGAGTAAAGACTATGATAGGTATATTTACGTACAGTTAGTCATTCAGTAATTACGAGTGGTACTTGCCATTTAATTCTTTTAATTATTACGCTTTACTTAACTTTAATCAGCAGATAATGACCTGTATTCATTGTTGAAAAACTGTTTTAATAGCTTCATGTTGATCAAAGCACGTGGGTCGTGGGTGTTGATTACTGATTATCCGTGCGTAACTAACATTACCACGCGTTTTGTTTTTTCCCAACATTTTGGTTTAAAAACATATTTATTCAGATAACTCTTGGACTTACTGTAGATATGGAAGGATATCACTTTGTCGACGTACATTAACACAATTATTATCATCGAGTGGTTTTCGTTGCGATATGTCATTAATTCGGAACGCAAATCTTCGAGTGTACATGCACTCATCGTAATAGCATAGAGGAAAGTCCTTCGACGTTTATAGTCAAAGATGTTTAAAGGCACATGTTTTGTTTTATTGTACATTAATTACCAAATCTAACCACTATTTAAACCTCCCCGAGTATTGTTTATGAATTAAATACATAACGATGACGAATGTCGTTCTACAGCCAAGGGAGGTAACATATTTTACACCAATTCCGCGAAATCATCAAACCGCGATCATGTCAGAGGAGAGAAAAACGTGAAAATTACAACCCGTGAAATTAATTCCCTATACAGTATATAAAATGTAATAAAAAGTAACGCAATTTCGACTTGATAAAAACTATCAAATGATATGTTCATACCTATAGAACGTGAATGCTCTGCCATGAGCGACATTACTACGGCAAAATCAAGAAAATTGTGGAAAAGCAGTAAGAAAGGCCAAAGCTAAAAATGTGTGCATGACTGAGATACTCGTTCCAATATATTTGTATAAACATTTAGTAATTCAATAAATTTATCCAAAATCAAGAAAATATCTAATACAATATTAGTAAATGAAATATATGGAGATAACGAACAGTATTCAAGCTCAAAAGTCCATTAACAATACAAATTTTGGAGCAGAGCAAACACGGACCTATAAAACATCAGAGGTGGGATCAGGTGCCATGGAGGAGTGAGCATCCCCTGCTGACTGGTCACACCCGCCGTGTGCTCCATGTCATGATCAGGAAATAACGGAAAAATCCGTCGACAATTCAGTGTGTAAATAATGGCCTAGCAATTAGTTTGATTGATTGTATGTTGTTTAACGTCCCATTCGAGAATTTTTCACTCATATAGAGACGTCACCATATACCGGTGAAGGGCTTCAAATTTTGACCTTTACTCGGCACTCAGGGCCATTGAGCAGTGAGGGATCTTTATCGTGCCAACGCCTACCGTGACACGGGGCCTCGGTTTTTAAGGTCTCATCCGAAGGACCCGCAACTTTCACTTCAAAGTGCCGAGCGCATGGCGAAGGAACAGTTGCTACCCATTTTTTATCGACTTAGGTCAGTCGCGGCCGAGATTCGAACTCACGACCTCCCGATCACGGAGGCAATTAGTTTGAAAAACGTCAGTCAGCATTTGACTTAATGATAAATTGTATTTGCTAACAGAGTCATTGTATCGACTGTAGAACTTACGAAATGACGACTTTTGACGAGACTGCTGATATTCTTATTTCATCAACTTGTTTTGTCAATAACTTACCTCGTATTAGAAATTGTTCATACGTAGAGCGTGCTCTTGCGTATCGGAACAACTGAGAGATATAAACCCCGTATGCAAGTGATAAGGGTATATCACGATGACATAATTTTTACACAGTAAAAAAACAAATCTGACAAAAATTAAAATATAATATTCTCAATAAGATATTTACGTACACGAAAGAATCTTTGAAAGTTATTAAGAATATCAGCTAAATGCAAAGTCAAGAACATCTTCATTTTTCCTTAAATAGTTTTTAAAAATACTATCAACATGGCGAAAACGTGTAAATGAGTTATATTTGTACTTTTTTGTCCCTGAAGTTTGTGGGTGGCAGTGGGAAGGGGACAAATGCAGAAGCATATGAGACTAACAGCCCTAACAAAAAATTTAACTATATTATACTTTAGTACATACAATAATGCTTTGATACTTTAATTTGATACTTTACAATTATAGTAAAAAAAAGTAGTTTTTTGTTTTGATATTTATTTTATTGACAATATATGTCAACTGGATTGGATACAAGTTAGTTCTAAAAACTTAATAGTCCTATCCTGATACTTTAAAAAAACACTTTAATAGTAAAAACTTTAACTTTGATTTACTAAAGTAACAACTTCAATACTAGTACTTTGATTTAGTATGGTAAGCTAGAGTCAAATAAACTAAAGTCATTATGTAGTATGTTTTTGTTAGGGAGAAAAATGGATGATTGACATGGCCAACAATTTAAGTCTCTTCTCCGTACATGGCAAGGCATAGAAATGAAAGAAATGCATGAAATAAAATCCTTGTATTCAAATAAATATCAGAGACTGCACATCATGGCAAGATAAAAAATAAAATCATGCAAATCTTACAATAATTATTTTTGAACCGCTCTATAAGATGGAATTACATGCTATAGAACGACATAACTGATTCACCACAACTCCTTACCTCTGCTGGTTGTTGGGTGCCATGGTACCGATTGTTATATTGTTTTCTCTGCAAATACGACGTACTTATATGTTAAATTCCATTTGAGACTTGTTTTAGCTTTTTAATCATTTGTACAAAGTCATTTAAAGAAATGCTGCTCTGACAATGCTTATAGGAAAGTTACTTAATAATTATTTACATGAAATGGTAAAAACATTGACAGAAACCTCTGTCATCTATAATCTGCTATTATGATATGAATTAACTAATTAAACTGTTGTCTGTTCTTTTATGGTCTTAACTCTCAATATTACCTGAGGATTCAATCTTGGATCAACCCATGTTGTTTGTCGTGTATTATGATCAATGAAAAAGCTGTAAAGCAACAAGAAATTTTATCATGACTAGAGGAAATTCGAGTGATAAAGATAGACGGTCAGAATTTTTAGTGTTAAACTTGTAAGTCTACTACAAAGAACTTACTATGCATTTCGATTTGGGTCCCATCTGGCTTCCCAGCCCTGCGGAAGAGGTTCACGATCAACCATTATCTGAGCTATATTAGATAAACTTTTTTTCCATTTCTGGTCTCTCTGAGTCACTCGATCGATTTCCATTCCACTTTGCACAAGTATAGCAAATGAGACAGAGATTCATGGACCTTAGAATTAGCATATACTTTATGTTGAATATTGCAATATGTTCTTGAATGCTTTCATTTGCATAGGGTTGCATGTGTACTTTCATGCCTAAATTTGCACATTTTTCATTCTCTGTACAAATGAAAGCATTCAAGAACATATTGCAATATTCCGTGAGCGTTCTTTATTTTGCTTCTTTTAAAATCAGAATAATGTAATTGTTTTATAAGTTACCAATCAATAAAACTATCTGGAGTTGATAACTGAGTTATGAAAATGTACAGTAATTTAAGACTGAACTTTTTTGCTGACAGGATAAACACCTTTTCATATGAATCATTTTCTCACGAAAAGTATGAGCATGCTAATGAGGAAAGGATTAAATGGAATGTGTCAATTCATGAAACCAGACTGTACGTCATTACCTGAACTGACATATTGAAGATAAGTACATTTCACTGTCGTCACAAAAATTACCTCAACAGTCCCCTGAAGACCATGTTTTATTTATGCAACCAACTGTTTTGCTTAAGAAATTAATGTAAATCTGACGTTTCATAAGGTCACTCTTGTCAGAGGATCATGGTATAGTTTTCTATTCCCCAATTTTTAATGTTAAGTAACACACATTTAAACGTTCCATTTAGATTCTATTTGGCATTTTCTTGAAACAATTTAACGGTATTTTGCACAAGCCAATCATTTTCTTTATTCTAGGAACAAATTTTACTGTATATTGCTGAGGGTTTTTTCTAACTATTATACTGCATCACATAGGGTTTTTCTAATTTATGACAAGTTTCTCATTATAGCTAGTATAAACATTAGTCATTAAATCCATGAAGGTTCCCGAGTTGGTTTTTTCCCTCTTGCAATCTTTTTGGTCCTTTAGAATTTTTTTCAAATTATAAAAGTTTGCTTTTTTTAAATAGATATATTAAGCATAAAAATATTACATGTTATTTATTTATTTATAAAAATGTTACTCAACGTATTCTTTGACTTTCAATCAAGATTTCATAAAAATAAATATATTATTACATTTTTTATCATTATATCAATATTGAAAATGTTGCTCCCCGTCCTTAGTCATTCCAAGGGATCAATAACCAATGAGGTCCCAGACAATACAGGAACCATTGTGGAATCCCCCGTGGTTGTTGTTTTTCTATACTGCCTTAGCTGATGATTGTAAACATTAATCTATTTCCTCGTTAACTGACACAACGTTTGTATCTTGAATTTATACCTTTGTTTAATTTACATAGAATATGAAAAGCGAAGAATTCTATTATCTATGAAAGTCCCCTGGCTGGTAAATGTTAGTAATCCTTGCATAAAGAAGGCTTAATTCGTTCTCTATGTAAATAATCACATATGGATATTGTAGCAATAAAATATCTTTCGTTATGATTTCAGATCGTGTGATAAAAACCGATATTTTGATTGACGATTACCGACTGTCCAAAAAAATCATTTAATTATTTCATTTATCTTATATGTTGCAGAAAAGTATAGTTAACACTAGATCATTTAAAGGCAACAGAGATGACGATTTGTCAATTTCTCCTTCTTCACTTGAAACTAAGTAATGAGCGTATATACTCTGCTGTAGATGAATTATTTTATTATTGTAATTAATTTCCATATGTAAGTAAATCGTGATTAGAAGCATTCAATAACACCTTAAAAATGATTAAGTTAAAACGTGACATAACCAAGCATAAATATGTGACATTGCATAAGTTGTTGAAGCAGGACTCGATTTTATAATAATATTCATATCCAAACATGTGTATATTTTTCGAAAACAATGCAGCGAAAATATCCTTTACCTTGATTTGTAATATGAGAAAATAAAACGTTGGAAATTATATTCTATTAATAAAACTGGAAATTTGAGTTATGACATTTAAATGCTTTGACAATCCACTGTAAACATTGCATTTTGTTGTGAACACATCTGATTTTATTGGATTGCTCTTCCAGAAATGATAAGAATAATCTTTTCTCTTGGTGTACTGTATTTGAATATGGCATTATATAAACTTTTTCAATTACATGTACTTTTAATGATGCATTCGATAAATTCTATACCAGCAAACGCAGGTGATGGACTTTCACATGAGTTTAACTCTTCAACAGTCACAACTCTGATTTCTCATATAGCTAATTCAACAGGTTACGATAGTGGTAAATTAAATAGAAATATTTCCTCTGCATTGGATTCCAGATTACCACCCTACTGGGAGGAATTTTGTGAAAAACAAGAAATAAAGAGCAATGAAACATCGCATCACTACAAATGTTACATAGATGCATCTTCCTCTGGCAAATGGAATTTTTCAGAACTACGACAGTATATTTTGCAAAGAGATGATAAATACAGTTTCTATGTGCATTGTCAAAATGGTGCTAGAATTTCACTTCCTGCGCAAGCAAAAGCAATTAATATTATTAAGCTCCACGTGCACGACTGCATTGCAGATGACTATTATGCAGACTTTAAAAAACTTGAATTAGATCTTCTTCCAGACGAACTCGAAGAATATGTTCTAATAAATGTGAAGCATTCAATAGGACTTAAAGCAATGTTTGAGAGTCTTCAAACAAAGACAGCGAATCTTTCGAGAAGTTTTTTGTGTGGAAACGAGGAAACTTTAAGAATTAAAATATATCGGAATAAAACCTTTTCATTCATAAATGATCTGAGCAATCCAGAACTGGCTTTTGAAATGTTCCCCAAAATAGCCACTGGAAACATAATGGAAAGGAGATTATCACCACATAAGTGTATTAATAAAAAACTAGAGGAGCTTGAAGATTCCATCACATCAACAGTAGGTAGATACTATGCAACCACTTTAACCGAACAAAATATTTTCCCAGAACTATCTGTTCTCAACATATCCCATTCTAATATTTATTACATACCTGAAAATTTTAAAACTTGGTGGATCTACTTCCCAAAGTTGAAGTACCTGGACATGTCTAACAACTTAATTCAGGATATTATCTTTCCACGAAATGACGAGGAAGTGGTTGGTAATAGCATTTCAAATTTAACGCTTGATCTAACTTTTAACAATATAAGTGTAGTGTCTGTTCTTGATTTTGAAAGAATCATACAAAACAAGAATTTATTTGTGAAATTGGCGAACAATCCTTTCAACTGTACATGTACAGATAAAATGAAGGAGGTGTTGAGATACATCCAAGAGAGAGATTGGAATTCATCAAAGTACCAGAGATACTCGTACATTAGAGATCTGGAGTGCCATTATCCCGTAGCTGTCAGAGGCCGACGACTACGAGATATACATCTTGGTGATATAAACTGTGGATTCGATATGATGCCCGTAATTGTTGCTTTAAGTGTCCTCTCGTTTGTCCTTCTTATTTTCATTTTTATTATTTTTATCAATTGGCGAAGAATTCGAACTTTGTTGTTATCAAGACTCAATGTTGACTTCCCTTGTGCTATCTTCAACAATCATTAAATTTCATCATTGAATCGAAAAGAATACCTGAATGTATATATCTGATGGAAAGGGAGTTGCTGATTGATTGAACAATGATGTTGTCACAACTTTCATTTTTATGTGTTTGTGTGTGTGTTTCACTTTTCAAACTACTGGAATTAAAACACTTGTAAGTCCTAGGACTACAGAACTCAACCGAGTTACCTTGGCCTTGTTCCTGTATTTTGAAACGAAATATGGAGATAACGAACAGTAATCGAGCTCAAAAGTCCATTGAAACAATACAAATCGGGGGTAGAGTAAACACGGACCTCTAAAAATCATCAGAGGTGGGATCAGATGCCATGGAGGAGTAAGCATCTCCTGTCGAGTGGTCACACCCGCCGTATGCTCATTGTCATGATCGGGCAAATGGAAAAATCCGTAGACAAGTCAGTATCTAAATAATTGCCTAACAATTACTAGGAAGCGTCAGTCAGCCATCGATTTAATGACAGATTGTATTTGCTGAAAATAGTGATTGTATCGTCCATAGAACTTGCAAAATGATGACTTGAAACGATGACTTTAAACGAGACTGTTGATATCCTTGTTTCATCAACTTGTTTGTCAATAGCTTCCATCTTTTTAGAAATTGCTCATAAGTGGAACATGCTCTTGCTTATCAAATCAACTGGGAGATATAAACCCAAGATGCAGGTTATAAGGGTATATTGCTACATAAGTAAGGGAAGTTGCCGATAGAAATGTTAAGGTCTTCTCGTTTCTCACAAAGTTTTGTTGTTAGGTTATCATTAACGTCTTTTTCTAGTAAAATATCCAAATATGAAACAGATGTGTCAGACTCTGTGGTATCTTTTATATGAAGTTCACTGGGATACATTGAGTCGACATATGAATGGAAGTAACTATTGTTAATTAATAATATCTTTGTTGGCAATTCAAGTTGGCAATTCCAACTTTAAAGTTGGAACTACAAACTTTAGAGTTTAAAAAGCTGGAATTACCAATTTTAAAATTGAAAAAGCCAAGATTAAAGTTGGAATTATCAACTTTAAAGTTGGAAAGGCTTAGAATAAAGTTTGATAATCCAACTTTAAAGTTGGAATTACCAAAATATTACTTGGCACTAATACGCTTCCGTAGTAAAAGTTTACAAGTAAATTGATTGATTGATTGTATGTTGTTTTACGTCCCATTAGAGAATTTTTCACTCATATAGAGCCGTCACCAATTAAACCGGTGAAGGGCATCAAATTTAGACCTGTACTCGACACCCAGGGCCATTGAGCAGTGAGGGTTCTTTGATATCGTACCAACGCTTACATTGATACGGGACTTTGGTTTTGAGGTCTCATCCGAAAGAACCGTGACTTTAACTTCTAGTGCCGGGCGCTTGGCGAAGGAACAGTACTAAGTAAAAGTATAGAAATAGTAGATTAACTTTCTTTTGTCGTTGCCAATTGTAATTCATGAATTGAAAATGAAATTATTAGCTAAATTGTCTAATGTGCAAAAAGATATCGAGGAACAACTGCAAATCAAA